AGCTTGTAAAAGTGTGAGACCTTGAGAACAGCCATCCATTTTGTGACCATTTTGGGTTCATCTTGGATGTAGCCCTGGCCAGGCTCTTGTACTGCCCAAGGTGTGTCCTTTAGGGCCTTTCAATAAATCCCTAATTTATTCTTAACTCTGTCTAGCCTCTGTTCTAGGTCAGCCTTCTCCAGGCATCAGAGGGAGGCACTGACTGGGGATTTGGCAAGGCCAGAGGGCTTTAGGCTCTTTCAAACCCCAGTGGCATCCATGTTGGACCTGTGCCCAGCCCAAGCAGATTTGGTAGCTAGAGGAAGGCCAGGTGAGTTTCATTCATAGGACCCTTTGTCTCCAAGGAGGCAAGAAATTCAAATAAGTTAGTACTTGAAGTCATTCCCCATGGTAATTGAGCTTCAGGGGAGAATTTTGTGGCAATTCGCATGGCTAGGAATGATTTCTCAGTGAGTAGCAAAAATCTGGTTAGGGGTGAGTGTTTTCAAATGCCAAAGCTTAGGAAGGTTTTCACTGTCAAATGCAGACTCATTCTCCTTCCAAGCACTGCACTGGTGACTGGGAAACACTTCACATCACCTGGCAAGTTTTAAAGCACCACATTGTTTGGGGATATCACCAAGGAGTCCACAATCAAGGCCTCAGTGATAATGCTCACTAATGTTTACTAATATGAATTTTAATGGCCTCTGAACCATTGTGTTTGTGGAGTGTCCTTCACTGGATATATTCAAGAACTGTCTGGACACAATCCTGTGCCAGGTGCTCTAGAATGACCGTGCTCGAGCGGGGAGGTTGGGCCAGATGATCTCCTGTGGTGCCTTCCAACCTGACCCACTCTGTGATTCTGTGAACTAGTGTCCATTTATCTCTTTCATGCAATTCCTAAACAGTAAAAGATCCATAAAAAGAACCCTGCTGAGGGAGTAGGGGTTTTGACTGTGGTCTAAACATAAGTTTATTTTATCTCTGTACTTTGGAACTGTAGATACAAATCTAGGTAAAATTGATACTGCCTTAAGCTACTCTGAAACTGATAAACGGTTTGTTATGCAGAAGTGGCTAAGCCATGCAGTTCATGGTGTTTCTTATAAAAGTAGGGGTTTACTCAGAAGGACTCTGAATAAATTTCCTTTTCTCTGAATCAGGCTTGTTGGCTGCATGCACTTCAGCTCCTTAACTTTCTTGATATGCCATGTGCAAAGTTGTACATGAATTTTCAAGCCACACAAGATGCCTGTGCTGTATAAATATAATAAATTCAAAATAGCCTTACACTTTTTTCTCCTTACACTTTTTTTCAAAGACATGGATAGCTCCTGCTCTTTCCATGTCTCTATTGGACTTTATTCATATATCCAAAAATAACCCCTCTGTCCTGTCTTTTGTAATGCTGTCAGGTCACTTCCAGCACTGCGTATACATCTCACTTTTTCGGAAAATCCTTTCCACCATAAAAATATTCCATCAGAAGTAGTTGTGTGACCTTGAAGAGAGTATCCCCTAGTGCCAGTGGAGATGTTCATTTGCAAAGCTCTGCCTTCAGCCTAGTGCCACACACTGCAGAGTCCTGCAGGAGTGTTACCACCCCTCAGCACTACAACGGTTTTCCTTGAACATAACACTAGAAAGAGCAATGGGACTGGTTTTTCTGGAGCAGAAGTTGGAGAAATCACTTATTAATGTCCAGTAGTATCCCCTGGAAGTGGGCTTTCAGTGTGTCACATCTGCTGGCAAGCTGTCACTGTTCTTGTGGAAACTGTGATGCCAGCCGAGCACTATTAACCAATAACCAAACCATAAACCATTGGTGCTGCATCTTATTTGCAATATAACAGCTGAATATGGGCACATTTTCAGTCACCTCAAGGGGAGTTTGGCATGTAGATAAAGGGTAATAAACAGTGCCTTGCTTTGATATGGAACAAGCCAATAAATTGTTAAAATGTAAGTAGCAATAGACCTACAAAGTGATAGAGTCTCACATGGGGTATGTTCTTGAAGAATAACTGCATGTCAGCTAGGTGAAAGCTTCCACCGTGGAATGTAGGACATAGCTTTCACAGGAGACTGCAGTGACCAGAGATTTCAAAGCAAAGAATGAGATAGGAGAAAATGTTGTTCTGAGTGCCTCTGCACCTGCCCTGCTAAAATAAAGGCACTTACAGTCTAGAAGGGCACAGAAGAAAAGAACAAACAAGATGGTGCCCTGCATTTCAAGAGTCTCTTTTTACATAGCTCTCCTCTACTGAGGGTTAGCACACCCCAGCTTTGCCTTCCCTTCCAGGAGGAATGCAATAGCACTAGCAAAGAAATATACCTGCAGCTTACAAACAGCTGGTATAGCATAGTCAAGGCTGTCAGCATGAAGACTTCTGTGGCAAAGCCTAGTTTGCAAATATTGGTGCCAGTTCATAATTGCCAAACCCTGGTGCAACACTTTCCCTGCCTGTTGGGGAGTCTGTATGTTGTGTTCAGACTTGGCTTAGAGCCCAGAGCAGCCTGGGTTTTATTCTCCTTTTGTATGAACATGGAGAAGATTTTCCAGTAGGATGGATGGCTTAGCAGGTAATGCACTGGCCTTTCAAAGTTGGGAACGTGGTTTGGGTTCAGTTTGAGGTCTCAAGCAAAATGATATTACTGGTCTAGGCAATTCACAGTCAGTTGTATACAACTGTCTGCACGCTGTGAATTTGCCTCTGGTTTGCCTGGCACAGGTTTACAGTATTTAAAGAAGAATGCCAGCAAGGTAGTGGTGTTACATCAGCCTCAGCTACTTCCACCCCACTCTGCCCTTCTATGGCAGTTTATACTAGTATTTGAATTCCGTTTGTGTGCAAAACTCCAGAGTTCTGGGATCTTCAACTTTTTTCGTCTGAGCTTGGCTTCCTCTTTTATTGTTTGGGTTTGTTAACTGGCTGCTGTTGTCCTTCTCAAGTCCCAACAACCATTTTTCAACCCCCTTGTTTTTCCACAGGAAAGCCAGGAAGAAAGGCGTTTTCAGCATGGCCTCTCTCCTTGCTGGGTTTCATGCACAGACTTTAATCATTGCCTTGCCTGGAAAAGGGAAAGAGCTTTTCTTAGAATGTCCTACTGCAGCATATAAAGACTTCCCCCCTTCTCCCTTCCTACTCATTAAAGCACAATTGTTGACTGCTTTGGGGTCCCTCTGGGTAAGGCTTGTTTGTAATGTCAATTACCTTGAGTTTATGAGTTAAGAGCTGTTGCCGGTCCTCTGGAAAAAGGAATCCTTCATTTAGCTGTCACTGGCATACACTGCGGTTCATTCGGCCAAGAGGAAATGGGGATTAAAGGACCTGGTCCTGCTCCCGCAGGAGGCGGTGGTATGGCTCCTGGTGAGAACAATGGGAGCAGACCCCAGGCTCAGAGGAGAGGGTGGTCCTAGCTAGGGTGCTCCCCTGCTCCCCCTCTTCCCTAAGTGAATGATGATAATTACTGCAGGAGCGTCTGCTCGGTTCACTTCCTCCAATTGTTCCCAAGCTCTTATTTTGCTTGATGCTCAGAAAGGGTCATTTGTTTAGCTGCATAGCAAAGCTTGTCTAGAATGACTTAATGTGTTCCTGAAATGCTTGAAAAGGTGGGTGACCACTGCAGAGAGAGGCAGAGAGAGCAGCTGAATAGAGGTTCCTTGCATACTTTAGCCCATCCTGGTCAAAGTCATAGGGGCGGTTGACAGTGTTGGTGGCACGAGGCCAGTTTTTTGATGAGATATAAAGAAGCTGTGATCTCATTTCCAAACAGAAACCTACTTTTGGATAACTTGAGTCAGTGTTCAAGTGCTCTTTTTGAGGAATTAAAGTGGTTCACCTGCCTGCTAACCAGGTGCTTTGATGAAGGATTGCTTTTTGTCTGCAGTGGTTCCCCAGTGCTCTCTTAGGGAGAAGCAGAGTGATAGAACATGAAAGAGGGAAGTTCTGTCAGCAACCCAAAGCTAATGAAGGCCCAATTATGACACTTTTCACCCCAGATGACTTAATTGTCACTGGAATGGACAGATCTGAATAGGAAAACCCCTCTTGTTTCAATTACTGAGGAGCACAGGACTGCCTTTATCACACCACTATGTATTGGTGTAATCAAGTAGACTTTCAGCCTGGTGTGCTAAGCTTTGCTTGCAAATTCTTCCTTTGCTGCTGGTAAGATACGGAGTATTTGTGTTTGTTTTCCCATTGTGGAAATGTGTTGGGAAACATCCTTAATAACAGCTGAGCTTTAATTGCTGAGAAAGCCAGCAGCTCCACTCTACATCACAAGTTCAAGTAACAGCTGGAAAGTGCAGAGATTTTTTTTTGTAGCAAGAGATATTCTCACTCCATGGACAATACTTATTAATCCTCCCTTGCATTTCTTTTCACCTTCCTTCCTTATGTTGCTGAGCAGGCATGAAACAAATCTCAGAGGACCTCCAGTGAGGAATTCTAGAGTTACTTCTTTTCTTTAGAGACAGGATGTCAAGATACAGAAAGAAAGTCAAATGCTTAAAGTTATGGTGTGGAGCTGTGATTGCAGTGATCTCTGATGGGAAGTGAAACTGAAACAGACTTCCAAGTCTGGGTGCCCTAGGTAGGCATTTCATGGTGGAAATGTGGTCAATCTTCTTCCAGCTTAAATGGGATCTCTCAGCTCCCTTGTCCTCAGATAGCAGCATTTCCCTATGCAATTCCTCTTGGCAGAGTGATGGGCTTTTTTTTTTTAGCTTTGAATTGCCATGGATATTCCTCACGTGCAGGAAGTCACTGATGATGCATAGGCTGTATTACAGCCTTAATCAAAACTGAGCATATTCAACATCTTATTGAGAAATTTGGAAATGTTATGACATCAGCTTTTTTTTGTAATCACCATGGTTACATCTTGAGAACTCAGATCCTGTGCAGCCCCAGCATTCAGTGGTGTCAAGTTTATGATTTCATAGTAAGGATTGCCTACTACATCATTAAGGACTCCACAAACAGTGCTTTGCTTTGAAGCAGAGAATACTTTACTACTCCATGCCCAGCTCCTAGGTTTCTCTAGCTCCAGGCAGCAAAACTTCCAGTGAAAGACTTCATATTGAGAATATATCTCAGTGGCATACAACCTCCTGAGTCTTCTGGATTTCAGAAAGAAAATGTTAAAGGACTGAGGTACTCTTCACTACCACCATTCTTTGTTTTCACCTGATTGTGTGAGCCTCCTCTGCGTAGTGCCCTCGTACACAAGCCATGTGTCAGCTGAGCTGTGGCAAACTTGGTAGCTGTTTGCCATGCATGGTTTTGGTCTGCCCTAGATGGGAGGTAATATAATTTTCCTGAAAACTTGCTGAAAGAAGCTTGAACTGAAACAAATTGAAAACACAGACATGGACAATTACAAAGGTTTGACTGACATATAGCAACTCCATAAGCCCCGCACCCAAGCTGTGTGTCTGAACCCTTGAGCTGCTTGCTCACAAAACTTGGTTTGTTCAGCACACATGCTCGTGGGCTGTGATGCACAGGCAGTACTTTTTGAGAGACACTGGCTCTGGTGAGCCCGGTGTGCTGCCTGCTCCTCCTGTGCTCTCACGGAGAGGGTGATTTTTCTGGATGCAACCTAAAGGACTGACTGGTTTGGTTTTGCCAAATGTGCTGATTATATGATGATATGTGCTTATGTCACTATGTGCTGATTGGGCACATTCTCATTTCCAGTGTCCTTGGCTGGCAAGTTAGCTATTTAGTTTTAACAGTAGCAGCATGTTGAAAGTAACACAGGCAGAGGAGGAAAATTGTGCTGCACACTGGAAACAGAACAAGACCAGGCTCTAGTCATTTTTTAAGCCAGTTGCTCCAGAGTGAAAAAATACTGGATATTTTTATCTAAGCAGGTCACATTTTGATGAGGAGCCATAGGGTCTAGGGTTCAGAGGGCAAGAGCGACTATCGCTAAGGATCTTGCTGTGCTGTAATCCCTCCTAAGCCATGGGTTTGCAGGGTCACCTTGGCTGTGACACTTGATCAGTCAGCTCAACCTTAAGCAAGAGGCAGCCAGACTGTCCCCTGCCAGCCCAGATGTCACAGTGTCCAGCTCTGTAAGTGATTCTTCCCTTTCTCTAGCAGGAGTAGCTGTTGATAAATTATAATGCAACAATCAATCTCTGGTTCCCAGTGCTTTGCTAATAAATAATTGACATCATTGTGACTATTGTTAATTTGAAAGATTTGACAGAGGAAAGTTCATTGTTACTAATAAAGGGCTGTTGTCTTAAAAGGATGGGGATTTTGGGTGCTCCATTGCCAGATTCTACAGTTTTGTCTTGATATTTGCTCTATTGATATTTACTGTTTTCTGTAGAAACAGCTGAGAAAGTGCTTAAAATCAGGGCTTATCAGGAGATATAAGACAAGATTATTCTGAAGTACAGAAGTTTTTTTAAAAGACATCATCAGCATTTTTAGAGTAGGAGAAGCAAATGTGGTTACTTAGAGGCCTGGTAGCTCAGCCCAGAGGGAGGAAGAAATGTAGTACCCACACAGAGGCATGCAGTGCAATTCCCCACACCCACCTGGCATCCAACTCGCACTCCCAAAGGGTGCAGCTGTTCCCTAGATGTGCTGGATGCCCAGAGACATCCCAAATGACACTGGACACCTATGTGTTCTACTTCATGTTAAGAAAAAATCCCAGCACCGGTGAAGCCGGGATAGGAGACAAATGTGTTTAACTCATTTCTTAAGGCTGGTTATTTGGCCATGTTAGACTGCATAAGAATAGCTGAGATCAGTGGAAACCTTCTCTGATTGCATGCAAATGGGAAGATTGTCAAAACAGCAGTATGGCTGAGTGTTCTTTGGAGAAAGAGACAACTCCAGATGCTGGCACTGTGGCACTTCTGAAATGCATGACTGCGAGGAGGACAAGGAGGAACTTGTGGTGGTAGATAATGCTCATTACCAGAAGGTTGGTTGGTCTCCAAGATTGCCATGAACAGATGAACAATAGCTTAAGTGGACTGCCCTTATCTATTCTGACCTATTGGTGATAGACAGAATTTGGTTACTTAACTGCTCATGGTTGTGGCAAGCAGGACAAGATTTCATCTCAGACGTCATCTCTTGATAGCACTTTCATATTTTATCTCCTTGCCTTTACTTCCGTGATATCTGGACCATATTTTTTCATTAGGGCTTTTGACAAGACCAGTCAACTTTTCTATAGCTGTTTACCATTCTTCTGAAATCTCTGAATATAGCTCTCATAAACCTAGACAGCCATCTTCTCTCCTTTCCCTTCCCCCCAAGATTTTTACATTACTTATAATTTCTAATCTTAAGCATAGTGAAGGTGTTCTCAGAATCAAAACCATAGAGAAGTGTGTCAGGATGGACTGATCTAATTGACTCACAAACTCTAGGAACTGGCCTGTGGTTGAAAGAATGACTCAAAGTGTTCTCTTTCACTGAAAAAGCTGAAGAGTGTGGTCTAAGAGATGTGGATAGCATTTTCTTGTTAGTAAAGTTTTAGCTGTCTGGCTGGTGAAAGAGGAGTTTCTCCATGGATATTGTGTCTCTCTATCATCTCTTTCCTGAAACATCACCCCACCTACATGGAAGGATGGCACGTGTGCTCACGTTATGTGTGGTAGTGCCCTGTGCTGTTTGTGTAGTCTCTGCATCAGCCATGGAGGCAGGCAGGACTCTGGGCAACAAAGACACAGCACATGGCAGTTCAGGCACTTAAAATGGCAGCTGATGTGGTCCTTGGTCCTCAAGTAAATTTAAGAAAATTGTTAGATGCAATTGGGGCATGAGAGGGAAGCAGAGATTTTGACCACAGGAACTTTCACTGTCTCTTTGGCAGCAGAAAGCAAATCTATTAGGAACTGAACACAACAAGACTCGCTGGGGCAGTGCACAGGCCCTGCCAAAACTGGGGATCAGGTCCTTCAACCTAAATGGTTCATCAGGGTGTTTGGGGCTTCTGGGCCAGTCTTATGCCCCAGAAGAGCCTGGCTGTGTTGTGCAGTGGTTCTGGCTTTCATTGCAGCTCTGAGCTCTTACCTCTTCACATTTCTGTTGTACTTGCTCATGTTTATCTTGCGGGGATCAAGATGTACTTGAACTTTAGAAATGAAAACGGAAATTTGAACAGGAAACATGGCAGATTGACATGTTCCTCATTATCACTGCTACATTTGTTAGACATATGTTTTAAAAATCAAAACACTGCAGTATTCAAAGCACTAGGGGTGGGGGCAAGGAGGGAGACCCATCAATGCCCCACCCAGGGTGTTTATCTTTGAGGATGATTCATCTTTGGATGAAACTACATAGTGAACCATAGCTGATGCTGAAAAGTACTTAGATACCATTCAGAGATTTCCTGACTGAAATCCCAGTTCCTCCTCAAAGATGGGGTCATCTTACTGAACAGGGAAAACACTGTGGACCAGATTATGCCTCCTGGGACAAAATAAACCCACAAAATACAGGCTGCCTACACCTATCAGCGTTGGAGATGGAGCACGGTATGCTGGTGGCAATCTGACAGCCTTCAGTTTAAGGTGGTTCCTCGCTGAACTTTTGCAGCAGGAATGCTGTCCCACTCCCACTGAGTTTGCTGGGCAGTAGGGCTGAACAGCACATACAGCTGGGGGCTCTCACCCGCAGCACCTCATGCATTGCTTTTCTGATGTGAGGCACACCTGGCTGCACTGAGATTGCCCAGATCAGCAAATGTGGTGAGATAGAGCAACCCCCCAAAAGAGAGTGAAAAGCATGTAAGAAAGGGCAAGCATTTCTCATGCTGCCTGGTAAAAAGAAAAGCAAGACAGATGGCTTGCTCCTCAGAGCTCCTCTAGGCTCTCTCTTCAGTTGCTACTGTGCTGAGAGAGTTGATCTTATCCTGCTGTTGGGTGCCTTCAGACAGCACAATGTGGACTGATGTTCCCTTGGCACCTTGGTCCCAACCTCAACATAAGACTAAATCAGACAAAGGAAGTACCTCAGAGAAAAGTTGTGCTTATGATATACCAGCCCCTAAACCTGAAGGATGCAACTTCATAACATTAGGAGAACCTCTGAAACCGATCCTTGTAGAACAACAGCAATGTCATAGATACAGAACTCCCACATTTTATTTCCAGTAATTAAATCTGCATGGCCTCTCCTGGCCACAAATAATCACAGGAGAGAAACTGGAAGGAAGGTACAGTCATTACCAGTCAGTAAATTGACTTAGGGGTCATTTTTATTTAATTGTTGGGGAAAAAAAGTCTTCTTACAGAAGAAGTTAACTAGCTGAAGACACACAGACTTTGCTGGTATTCAGTGAATGAGAGGAGAGGTTCTATCATCAGCTTGGAGCTGTGTCCTTGTTCACCTAGCTGTGCTAGCCATGTACAGTGTTAGCTGCAGAGATCTGGAATGAGGTTTTAAAATGCTTCTGTCTGACACAAGTCAGGCCCTTAGAGGCCTGGCCAGTAGGAAAGTGACAATGGGACTGCAGCAAAACCATGTCAAAATCAGTAGGGACAAAGCCATTGAGACAGATGGATTCAGAGCTGCAGGGCTGTAAACCTCTGGATGGTCTCAGACATGGAGGACTGTCTCTATATGTAAAGCTACTTTTCAGAGCCACAATCTTCTTACTTTCTGCTTTATGGATAGAAGAATGAAGACAAAAGGATTTAACTTGGAACACACCCCATTTTTAAGATGCAAAATGCAAGAAACTCTTCTTGGGCACACAGCTATGCCTCCTTGGTGTAAGTCATGCTGGTTTTTTAAGCACCCTTATGGTGGTCATATGGGTGTTGCTGTCCAGAGGAAACAGAGCCCTGAAACAGTCACACGGTACCACTTCTGCAAGTAACTCTAAGGAGAAAGGAATTTGCTCAACAAAACTTTTGAGAAAAGTGCTCATACATTCCTGATCCTTCATCTGTCCTGATAATACAAGTTTGAGTTAATTTTAACGCTTGCTTTCCTGTGGTAAGTCTCTGTGAGGTAATACCTTTCCTGTGCAAGAAGATCCAAAACATGTACAAACAGATCATAGAATAAACAGAATGTAGGTAGTTTCTCAAATTCTTCACTTTTAAAAACTTATATGGCTTGCCCCTTGTAAATTTGTCTAGGTCACTGAGGGCTGTATTCTGGTAGGCTTTATGGGGGAACGTGGTGGTGTTGAGAAGGTGCAAATAACTCAATTTTTTACATCTCTTCTTCAGCAGTCAAGAGAATTCTGTCTTCTGTCTTTTTAGGGTGGTATGAGGTAGGGAATTGTGGAAGATGACAAAATTGTAGCATTGGTGTTTTTTTTTTTGTTTTTGTTTTTTGTGTTAGGTGGAGTGGACACTGCTCAAAAGAGGTGTCAAAATTTCTGTCAGGGCATGTTCTCTCCACAGCTGCTGGTAATGTTTTCCTATCCCCACATGCTACTGGGCTGCCTGCTGGATCTGCTGAGGTCCTGGGAGCAAGCTGAGGCTCATCCCTCTCTTGACCACAGACATCGTCCAAAGGTTGGTCTGTAAATTAGACACCAGTAGTAGCTGACCTGCTTGTGGACTTTACTCTCATTGCTGAGTTAAGAGGACCCACCTGTGGAGAAGAGAGGCACATGTTTCCCAGACACCAGTCAGCCTGAGCTCCTACAAGGGGGCTCCCTAGAAAGGTCACTGCTATGAGTATGTGGCTGCTGGCGTCCAGGTGCAGCTTTTCCTCCGAGTTTATTTAATTCCATGTCCATACAAGTGTACACTCACAATGTGATGGGAGAAATGAAGTCTCTGTTGCATGGTAAAAATACTTGCAAGTATAACTATGAGGTGATATTATATTGCTATAATTATGTAATCATCTGCTCTGTTTAAAAACCCCACAGTTTATCGTTTTCAGTAGTGATTTTTCTGTGACCAAAGTCTACATGTTGGGAAGAAGATGAAAGCAACTAATCAGTTCCTCAGGTTTTCTGTTCCTATTTTATCATTCTAGACTTCATTTTATACAGTTTTTTGGGTTTTTTTCTTTATAGGTAGCTTTTCAGGAAGGTTTCAAAAGGTTGACAACTGGAGTCACCTAAAATAAGGTCAATATTTCAGTTTCCACATATTTCCATAAATAGATGTGGGGAGAAGGGGAAAGGGAGATGGTTCTTTCTGCACTGACTTTTTCTCAGCTCGACATTATTGAGAAGATGGTCACCTAGTGAAACTCAGTGCAAGCTTGGGTTTTGTTTATTTTTTTTTAATTCAAGTCTGATTTGCTGGCTAAAAGCTAAAGGTATTGCCCTATAAGACAGAAGTATTTATTTCTTCTTATGGTACCTTCCAGTAAAGTGATGATATGCAAATTGCACATTGGAATTTTCTATGTACCCTCCAAAGACTGACATCCTAGCCAGCCCTTCCTGGACGAGGTGTCAGCTCAGAAAGAAAACTGAGCCTATAATGTGTCAGTCTGATCCCCAGTGAGAGGGCAGGCTCCAAAGGGAGAGCAAAGATTTTAAAAGGAAAGGGTATTAATATGCCAGCAGGTTATATGATACGTAGTGTAATTTCTGGGGTCTAGGGTTGATTTCCTTGGCTATGCATGTGAGACTGACAAGTCCACTTGGTGACATGAAGTGCAAAGTTTTGATTATAATAAGTGCTCTTGCCTTTCTTTTCTGTGCCTGTGTTTCACTAATGTGTTTGCTTTTTTTGTGCTTTATTTTACAACACTGAAAGCAGCAAATCCCAGGTGCAGACTCTAATCACAGCTAGCTGTGAAAGAAACAGGTTGAAATGCTGATTTCACATTCACCAGGGTAAATCTAGAGTGTGTCTGCCAGCTCCAGGCTAGAGGTTTAAACTGGTAGCCTGGTTGAATTTTGTTACATTCTCTGTGGTTTGTGGTTTTCACTTCCTGTGTTTTGTGAAAACGGATGCAAGGACTAAGGAGTGAGGCTTGATCTCTCTTAAATTAAAATCACTACATGTTACAAGATGGGAGAGGTGATTCTGGCTGGTGCCATGGGACTTCCAGCTGTGTTGGCTAAGTAGCTGCTGTAAAAGACTTGTCCACTTGTGTCTGCCTTTCCCATTTGCGCAGTGTGGTTTGTGGAAAGGCAGCATGCAGGAGGATGTTGTCATGAGCAGCAGCAAGATAACTGCAGCAGCACTAAGTGCAGTATTAAGAAGAGAGGGTAGAATTTTATGTGTTTCAACCAACATGGAAACAAAATACCCTCCTTTACTTATATTGGAGAGGTCCCTGGACCCAGAAGAATAAATGACATGGTCACGCTAATTTATATCCATGTGCTGGGAGGCGCATACTCTCCAGAGCTGATGCAAAGAAACAGTTCCAGCTTTCTTTTCTATCGTGGTCATTGCTTTTCATCTCCTGGGGTAAGACTCAGGTTGTAGGTCACCAGATTTATTCTTCAGCCAGCCTCCAGTAGCCTCAAAACTGTGGAATGTTGTTTTAAAAATGCAAACATGTAAAATGAGAAGACATCTAATGCCAGACTTTTGGTGGAGACTAGATTTAGGCTTAAGACAGCTGGTGCCAGAGCATTTGCCTGTTTCTAGGCTCTGGAATCCCATGCAAGGGGATATCAGAGCAGCAGAATCAATTAGAGGTCTTAAAAGTAATGCATAAACTTCTGGGTGACACTAATTTTTTACTCAGATGAGCATATTTTATGAGCTGAACTGCTGGCTGGAGAGGTACAATGTCATTGTTATAGGGAAGCAGATAAACCATTATAAAAATTCCCCTCCCAAGACCAACAAAATTCTTCAGATGCTGATTTGCTTTTACTCTGTGTTTTACCTTGTGGGAGCAGGGAAGAAGAAAGGAGTTTCCATGTGAAATGCACAGATTCATACCTGCCCAACCATGCTCAGATGAGTTAGGACTAGGAGTTTATTCTGCTGATCTTTAACCCAGATTACATGCCGGTGCAAGGGAATGAAGGTGCCTAAGCATTCCCCTCAGACATCTAACAGGAAGATTCCATCTTTTATCCAAACACATAAAAATATACAGGACTGTTTGACTGATGAGTTTTTCACTGCAGCAAATGCTGAGCATTGACAGGCAGAGTCTTTGTCCCTCCCTATGTAGCTCCAGCTGCCCGTGACAGAGAGAAGCAGTAAATGCCCACCCACCTGCAAGTTAGAGCAGAGACTTGGTGATCAGGGGGAACCCAGAGAGATTTCTGTTCAAAACCATAGTGCTGTCCTCTAAGACTTAAGAGAATGTATGCCATGCTTTCCTTCAAGAAGCATTGCTTGACCTTGGAGGGAGAAGACCCAACTTTTTCCTTGTGCTGTCAGGACCAATGCCTGAGAAAGAGAAAATGGGAATGGATGAGAGCTGTCATTTCTCCTTGTCTTTTGCTTACAGAGTGAATGGTGCAGGGATCCCTTTCAAAGAGCCACAATGCAACCATGGAATAACTCTCCAGGGTTACAACATTTCATATCCTGCCTGTGGAGTCAGTTCCCTAACCTCTTGCCCAGTACAGCAGACCATGCAGAATTTAGCCCTACAGAATCACAAAATTGTTTCAAGGAATCACAGACTGGTGGTTTTGTCTTCATGCAGCAAGAGTAAAACCTCAGTTCTCCCCTTCTCAATGCTTTCCTGAATGATAGGATGGCACTGACAACACTACAGTGGAGCCTGTTGAAAGCATAACTCCTTGGGAGAGTTCTCTGATAAGCAACAAAAACAATGAGGATAACAAATGTAGGCTGAGTGCTCATATTTGCTGACCTCTGTCTGTAGTGATCATAGAAACAACTCAGGCAAGCCATAAAATTTCTCCAGATGGCAGCCACTGAACCCAGTTTATAGAGTAATAGTTTACTCTATGAACAGTCCCGAGGATTTCAGCAGGACCACGAGGTGCCATGTGTAGGGAGAATGGAACAGGAGTGTCTAGTCTTAGTCTGCTCTTTAGTGTTTTTAATGAACACCAATTTTTGGTCGTGTAGGCAAATTCTTCGCTATGTACAATACCTTGATTTGGACAGGGGTTATGCCAAATGCTGCTATGCCCACGCTGTAGAAGGAGAAGGGCTGCAGAAAGCAGGGCAAAGGAAGGATCGCTGCAACAGCAGTGCTTTCCTTCTTGTGTCCTCCTAGATGAAAACACCACTAATGGAACAACGATCGCTGCTTGTGTCTGCACAGCCAGCGTGCTTTCATCAGCACTCTGTCCAAGGCAAACGTCTTTGGAGTCTGTAGAAAAAAAGACACAAATAAAAAGCAAGATTGTTTGTCTGCTGCCTGGTTTTATCAAAGGTGAATTGTGCCAGAAGAATCTGATATCTTATCAGAGAAAGCTAATTGATTTTCCTTGTAAAGGAAACACAGTTGATCTGACTATCAGCAAAGCATTTGATGTGACACCACATGGGAAATTATTAATTCAATGGGGAATGATGGGGTTAGGCACAAGAACAGTGTGTGGAGGTCTGGCTAAGAAGGGGATGAATACAAGTGATGGTGTGGGGATGATCAAGCTGGAGGAGGAGACTGCTTGTACAGTTGCTCAAGGAATAATCTTGGGTCTGATTCTGCTTAACATTTTCAGTATGGCCATCTGATGGAATGTAGGAGTGTGTGGATGAAATTTGTAGATGAGAGCAAGTTTGGGACCATAGTTATTATGCAAGATCAGGGCATGATACAGGAAGCACTGACTGACCTTGAGGGCTGGACTAATAGAAAAGGGATGAAATTCAATATTACAGAGTGCAAGGTCATGCACTTAGGGACTAATAACACGAATTTCCACTATAAGCTGAAAGCTTATCAGCTCAAAACAAGCGTAGAAGAGAAAGACTTGGGTGTATTAGTTGATGGGCTAACTAAGAAGCAGAGATATCATGCCACCATGAAAAAGACAAATGTGAGTGTAGGGTGTATGAGTTACAGCCTTCCCAAGAGGCATGGAAGTAATAATGCCACTGGAGAGGGGTGAGATCTCCCCTGGAGCACTGCTGTCTGCTGTGGTAAAGAAAGATGAAGCCCTGGCAGCGCAGGTGCAGAGACAGGCTATTAGGAGCATCAGAGGATCTTATCAGCTCGGGTCTCCATCACCCAGTGAGCGGCAGCTGCGAGGTGACACAGGGGCTTTCTCTAAATAAGCAGTGGGTAAATGCAGTGGGGAGGAAAGCATGAGCTCAGAGACAACACTGGCAAACGAACAAATACAAACTGACCATGGATACTCTGAGGATTGCAGGGTTTATGGTCACTCATGGGCAGAGTGTGGCAGAAAGGCATTAGTTTGGTCTTTGGGGAAGATTGTGGTGACAGTGGCATCATGGGGCTGATGTCCCTACAGGTTCCTTGTGGCCACGTCTTGCTGGCTGGCACCCGAGGCTTAGTGGGGGTTGGTGCAATGGTAAATGCTCTTTACTCCCTGGGGCTTCCCAATGTCAGTCTGCCCTTCTGCCCTCTCCTTGGGTATCTGTGTGCACTGGCTTTCATAAAATCTGTGCCCAGACTCTGGCTGGCATTCCCATTTGACTGACAGAAGTCAGGAAAAACCCAACTGCAATGTGTCAGTGTGGTGGCACTGTAAGTGAGATGAGACCCAGCCCAGGTTTCACAGTTTCACCATGTTTGTGGGCCAGCCAAGGCCATTTTGGGAAGCCATCAGGGTGATCTGATGGGGCACAGAGATCTGGCCAGTCTTGTTTCAGCTCTTCTCGTGTGCCGGGTGAGCTGTCAGCCTCCATTTTAATTGCTCTCACATAGCATCATCCTCTGCAAATGGGAAACTACAGTTCAGAGTTTTTGTCCATTTCTTTCAAACAAATATGTTTTTTTTTTTTTTTCCTTTATCCCTTTTCACCCTCTATGCTTTCCCTCCCCCTATTTTTTCCTTTTTTTTTCCCCTTTTCTCCCCTCGACGCTAGTTGACATTTACCAGAACCCAGTGTGATTTAGTGACCTTGGGCATACTGTGCACTTTAATTTGTCAATTTGGGAAATTAATTTGTGGAAGAATGAGTGGAAGTCAGAGGTCAGGCAGTTGGAGCGCAGACCTGCTGACAGGTTGACTGTTGGTGGGGGGCTAATGAGAGCACACCACCAAGCGAACGGAACAAAAGCAGACAGATTACACTGCCCGCTCGCTGGCCGGAGTCGATAACATCGGGCCCTTGTGCCTCCTTCTCTGCCACGGTTCTGCCTCATGCTGCTCGGGCAGCAGTTCAGAAACAGCCACAGCGGCCTTCTGGGAGGAAGGGATGGGTCACTGGGTGTGAGGCCGCTTCATGGTGAGGACGGAGAGCTGGCCATGGCAGCGCTGCCAGCCCAGCCCCAGCACGGAGGCAGTCACCGGAAAGGTTGTATCCGGGCATTTGCAGTCCTGCTGTCTGCAGCCACCTGGGCTCCAGGTGAATCTCAGCATCTCTGCTGGGTACCAACAGCCCTGTTCAGAGAAGTGGGATTTGTTTTCTGCCTGGCTCTCTGCCCACAGCTGTGAGAGTGGCTGTAGAGCTGGACAGCTTGCTAGACAGGAAGTAAGAAGCATGATGGCTCCTGCTCAGCACCTTTCCACCCCCAAATCCCTTTCCTTCTCAGCTGGCAAAGGAGTGTATTTGTTAGGCAGATTCCTGTGGGCGCATGCCACCATCTGCACGCAGCACGAGCAGAGGTTTGACCGCAAACAAGACCTGAACGTGCCGGAGAGAGATTGCATCTGCTGCCCTGCGGCAGCTGAACTGCTGCATCATGCTCAGGCTGCCCCCAAGCCCCGTGGCAGAATGACTGAGCGGTAGAGGATGACGAATGCTTTAAATTGACAGCAAGTCCTTGGATTCTGCCTTTGAAACAATGCAGGAGTCAGGCAAGAGGCATGACTAGGTCATGTCAAAGTCAAGACCATAGCCTCAAGGCTGCTGGGGAAGGGACTCAACAGGACACACTTGTTTGCTATGCACGTCGAGGCAGAGGCTCCCACAGCTCTAGAACAGGACAGCTTCTGGGCCCCCGTGCCAAGGCTTGTGTCTTTTGGAGCTAGGAAAGGCTGGAGGACCAGACTCAGCATGCACAGCCCACAGGGCATGCGAAAAGAACTACTTGTTTTGCTTTGACAGCTGGCACTGCACCCATGAAATGAGGGTAGGCTTGGAAAGGTGTTTCTTATTGTAAAATAGCTGACTAAAACGTGAGGCTCTGACAGCTGCTAGGGGAAAGGAGCACAGAAGGCTATGGAAGGAGCCTCTTTTCTCCTGTGATAACAAGAGGAAGAAAACCTCCTTGAGGCAGCAGCCTGGCTGCCCAGAAAGGTCTCCACAGCTGTGTGTGTGCTTTGACATTCACACTTGGAGTAGGGCATGATTCTCAGAGTCTCATATTTTGGAGCAGAATATAGTTTCCAGCTATGGCATGACAGACCTTCAAGTGATCCAGATAATTTGGTGAATGTAGAGATGACTCTGAGAGAGATCTCAGGCAAACCATGACATGGGAAGTGCAGATGAAGACAACTTTGGAACTTAAAATTCCTTTGGTACCATTCCAGCATGGAGTTCACTTCAGCAATCATTTATCTGACTTTGGCTGTCACTGATAATGTGGTCAGTTGTTTCCTCTGCACTTCAAGTTCCTTTGTTTGGAAGGACTAGAGGGTGCCTTGTACTTCCATGCTTCCCTCAACGCCAGCAGACATGACTGCTCTCAGCCACACACCTACTCCGTCTCCACTGGCTGCTGTGGTTCTGCATGGTGGTCCTTCCTCATGGATTTCTTACGTTTCTCTGGAGCTGGGGAAGATCTAACTCTTGCAGCTTCCACTAAGCTTCTGAGGTTTGAAGGAGACTGGGGGGTCATTAGACAGCACCAGAGATGCGTCATTGAGGGGCAGATGAGGTCAGGCAAACTGGGGGAGCAGAAGAGGAGCAGGAGGGTGACTTTTAGAAGCTGTCAGAAAGCTGAGACCATGCAGTCCCCATCCCTACAAATTGTCTTGATCTTTTGGATGTGCAGCATTTCTCGCCTCTGGCTGAAACCTGGCTCCGGTGCTCCCCCTTTCCTTCACATGTTAAGGTGTTCCCAATATACCTCGCTCCTTAGTTGACATATCCATCACTTTGCAGGAAGTTGTAAAAAATTCCTACACATTTTTTTCCTTGCCAAACCACAGCAAAGGTTGAGCAACTCAGCAACTTACGATTTCATTCTCTTCTGTTTCTCAGAACTGACAAGCGCACTGTTTGTCAGCATGCCGCTCACCCGGGAAGCGCAGCACGTAACTTCCAAGAAAGCGGTGGCGATTCAGGCTTCAGGCATTTAAACAGTCACGCTCTCCATGTTTGCTCCCTGCTCCATATAAGGCCCCAGCCCTGCGGCCTCGGCTGCACAGGGAGGGCTGTGCTGTGGGAGGGGTGGGCGAAGGCTCCCAGCCCCTCTGTCTGCCGGCACAGTTTGCCACTCTCTAGGCACACAGGACAAGGCATGGCCCCACAGTGGCCTCTGGGGACGCAGCCCTTGCGGGTCAGCTCCCTTCCTCATGCCCCAGGCAGGCAGGTGTGCAGCGGAACTGGTGCCGGTCACTGTGTGCAGAAACAGTCTGTGCTTCCCTCTGGAAGCAAAAATCACTGCAGACCTCTGCCAAATCTGAACTGCTGTTCTGCAGGGCACGATCACTTCATCCCCGTTGGGCTGCTCCGGACAAGCCTGCTCCCACCTGGATGTCAGGGGTTTGCACTTGGATATCAGACACAGTGTAGGCATGGGCTGAGAAGGGTCTACTCACCTTGCTCTGCCCTATGAAATTATCTCTGAACAAAATTACTATTTAATATAAAATAAATATTTTAAACATTTTAATATTTTCAATAAATCAGGTATGTCTTGTAGTATCTGGCCGTTAATTTCTTGGTGCAAGTGTTACTTCTTCATCTGAAGGTGCTGAGTCCCACTTCTTTAGCTGAATATGATGGAGTTGAGTTGTAGCATGGGACAGCCTTGTAGCTAAAGTATGTCTTGATGAAGTAAATGCTGTTCAATGACAGAAGTTGTTTACCTCTAAAGCCAGGCTGCTATAACAATTGAACAGTATACAAAACACATCCAGCGAGTTTGGGAATTTACTGTCACCACTGGGATGATTTGGAAATCCTCATTGCCTACTTCTGAGAAGGTTACCCACGAATAAATAAGCAACCTCTCTTCTTAGGGAGACTATGGAAACAGCTGTGACCAAAGCACAGAAGGGTTCCTGACAAGA